TAGGAGAATGAGAACAGAGGAGCATTAGCAGTGGATACAGAGGAAGAGAAGATAGAGAGGAGGGAGTGAAAGGACAATAGGTCCTCCGGAAGTTTCGTTTTCCTTCATTTTCGCTCAGCTGCCCGCAGCCCTGTTCTGTAAGCTCGCAATGAGTCACTCAGCCACGGAGCAGGAGGGGAGGGTCGAGCCGGCCGGGAGGAAAGGGGACAGTGCGAGTCATAGGATGCGGAAAGGGAGGACAGTAGGGTCAAAGAGGCAGAATCAAGAGACAGGGGGGAGAAGGATTTAGCAGAAGGGAGAGATGATAGGATAGAAGAGGAGAGAGTAGTTGGAGAGCGAAGATTGCGATGGCGCATGACCATCTGGGTAGGGGCTGAGTGGTTAGGGTTGGAGGAAAGAGAGACAGAAAAGGAAACAAAGTAGTGACCAGAGACTTGGAGGGGGGTTGCAGAGAGATTAGGCAGCGAGCAGCCTCTAGTAAAGATGAGGTCAAGCGTATTGCCTGCTTTGTGAGTTGGAGGGGATTGGGAAAGGGTGAGGTTAGAAGAGGCAAGGAGGGGAAAGAGAGAGTTGGAAATAAATAAATTGAAGGCAGACGTTGGGAGGTTGAAGTCGCCAAGTACGAAAAGCGGTGAGCCATCTTCAGGAAATGAGCTTATCAAGGTGTCAAGCTCATTGAGGAACTCTCCAAGGGCACCTGGTGGTCGATAGATGACAATAATGTTAAGCTTAAGTGACAAGTGACAGTGACAGCATGGAATTCAAATGAGGAGATGGACAGGTGAGAGAGGGAGAAAAGTGAAAATCTCCACTTAGGAGAAATTAGTAGACCTCTGCCACCACCGCGACGACCAGATGCTCTCGGACTATGAGAGAAAATGTAGTCAGATGAAGAAAGAGCAGCTGGAGTAGCAGTGTTCTCTGGGGTGATCCATGTCTCCGCCAGGGCCAAAAGGTCAAAGGACTGAAGGGCAGTATAGGCTATAAATACTGTAGTAAAAGAAAACGTTAGTATATACTATAGTAATTAATGTAGTGTTTTGGGGGATTGTATTATACTGTAGTATTTACTGTAGTGTTTTTGCGGACTGAAATATACTGTAGTATTTACTGTAGTGATTTTGCAGACATTACTCTAATATTTACAATAGTGTTTTTGTTTTATTATCTTTGACATAGAAATGGAGGCTTTCTCCTTGAGGAAACCTACTGGAGAAATACTAAAAGAGCAAGTTTTCCATAACCGGTAGGTAGTGAAATTGTGAAAAGTATGAAAATGCCCTTTTATTGTAAGAGCTGTTTGAAAAGACCACCTGAAATTTCAGCCTGTTTTGGTGGGATAGAGTTTTGGCCTGCCTGGTGACATCAATTAGTTAATAGACCAATAAGAAAGAGAGTTCCAAACCTCTCTGCCAATAACAACTAGTTTCTACTTCCCCTCAAGACTCAGACAACTCCCAGACAGTCCTAGCTAAATTACATTTTTTTTGTTTACATTTTAGTCATTTAGCAGACGCTCTTATCCAGAGCGACTTACAGTTAGTGAGTGCATGCATTTTTTCATACTGGCCCCCCGTGGGAATCGAACCCACAACCCTGGCGTTGCAAGCGCCATGCTCTACCAACTGAGCTACACGGGGCCAATTCTTTCTTTTGAAATTGCTCTTTGCTAAGAAGCTATTTTAATTTAAAACAATCACAGTAAGGTACTTAATTGTTACCTAGAAATTATATGATATTGAGATAAAAATGGCTGAATTGGACCTTTAAGATATCTGAATGCACTATTACACTAATTGAGATTATTTACTCATTGATCTGATTTGTTATATCTAAAAGTTTATATTGGGCCTATTTTGGGGTTGAATAAGCTGTATTGAACGGTATTCAACTCAAACTTCAAGTTCTATTTGGCTGTGAGGACCTAACATTTTCAGTGTTGGGGGTTCAAGGGAGTTTTTTCTACCCTACTTTCTCTGTCCTCCTTTAAAGGCGTTTTCACCAGGGGTTGGAACCAAAATTAATTTACCAATCATTTTGTTCTGAACAGAACCATTATTTTTTTTGTTTGTTCCACTGTTCTGACCAGCAAAATAATGTTCTGAACCGGTTTGAACCAAATAAAAGTAACGGTTTATATCTTTCCTTTCTGTTCCTTTCTTTTTGCAGAGCAGCACCAGAATTAAAATAAATACGTCTTGCCTTTTTGTAGTTAATAAATCCAATGGGAAAGGTGATAACTATAGTATCCTTAACTAGCATTGAGAAAGTGAATCCATTCTTCTCTAATTAAAAATCTCTCTCCTTAATTTCTGAATCATGCTTGATTTCACCACTGAGCCCACTATGAGAGAGAGAGAGAGAGAGAGAGAGAGAGAGAGAGAGAGAGAGAGAGAGAGAGAGAGAGAGAGAGAGAGAGAGAGAGAGAGAGAGAGAGAGAGAGAGAGAGAGAGAGAGAGAGAGAGAGAGAGAGAGAGAGAGAGAGATTCCTAAGAGGCCTTGACTACTGTTGAATGTGAAGATGGAGGCATTTTTCATTGAAGTAAAACAACATTTAGAGAAAAAAAAGAGTATGCCTACAGTGAAAAGACAACAAGAGGAATGTCCTCCGTGTGGACAAGTTTTAATATTGTAGTGGACTAGATGAGAAGAACATTGGCAAGGCCAAATGCAGGCTACTGTTCAACTCACTATTCAGGTAGGATGTAATTTTGGAAGTTACTTTTATTTATTTTTGTATTTATAATAATTTGTGTTATTATTATTGTATATCATTGTTATTATTGAAGCCTATCTATTAATCAAAACCAGTTCTTTAAATATACAAATTAAATTCCAACTGTAATGCTGCGTTTGCCATAATATAATAGCCTGCTGGTATTTTCCCTATAAACAAGGGATTTACTTTTGATATTACCCTAATAAAGTTTAGAAACTTTTGTGAAGGTATGGTGTGACTATTATTAAGCTTCAGCTACTGCAGGCCTATGATATGAAGGCAATGCGTACCAGCTCTCCAAATGGCATTTGAACTTGAGGTGAGGAAGAATGTTTTAGGCCTTCCAGATTTACTCCTATAATCTAACAATATAATGCTTATCTTAAAACAAAATTCACGAATTAGTTTCCTTCTGTATGCCTTTATCTGTATAGCAGACGCAGTACCCATCTGACATAAAGAAATGCATGTCGGTGTCATAGCATGCCACCGGCATATCTCTCTCTATCTCTCTGGGGCTAGGCCTAAACTTCTCATCCTTCAGAAAGTATTCACAGCCCTTGACTTTTTCCACATTTTGTTGTGTTAAAGCCTGAATTTAAAATGGATTAAATTGAGACCCCATAATGTCAAATTGGAGTTGTGCTTTTCAAATTTCTTACACATTAATAAAAAATGAAAAGCTGAAACGTCTTGAGTAAATAAGTATTCAACCACTTTGTTATGGCAAGCCTAAATAAATTCAGGAGGAAACATTTGCTTAACAAGTCACATAATAAGTTGCATGGACTCATTGTGTGCAATAATAGTGTTTAACATGATTTTTTAATGACTACCTCATCTCTGTACCCCACACATACAATTATCTGTAAGGTCCCTCAGTCGATCAGTACATTTCAAACACAGATTCAACCACAAAGACCAGGGAGGTTTTCCAATGCCTCGCAGAAAAGGGTACCTATTGGTAGAAGGGTAAAAATAAAAAAGCAGACATTGAATATCCCTTTGAGCATGGTGAAGTTATTAATTGCACTTTGGATGGTGTATTAATACACCCAGTCACTACAAAGATACAGTGGTCTTTCCTAACTCAGTTGAAGGAGAGGAAGGAAACCCCTCAGGGATTTCACAATGAGGCCAATGGTGACTTTAAAACAGTTACAGGGCTTAATGGCTGTGATAGGAGAAAACTGAGGATGGATCAAACAACACTGTAGTTACTCCACAATACTAACCTAATTGACAGAGTGAAAAGAAGGAAACCTGTACAGAATAAAAATATTCCAAAACATGCATCCTATTTGCAACAAGGCACTAAAGTAATACTGCAAAAAACGTGGCAAAGCAATTATCTTTTTGTCCTGAATACAAAGTGTTATGTTTGGGGCAAATCCAATACAACACATTGCTGAGTACCACTCCATATTTTCAAGCATAGTGGTGGGTGCATCATATTATGGGTATGCTTGTAATCATTAGGGCCTGGGGAGGTTTTCAGGATAAAAAACAAACGGAATGGAGCTAAGCACAGGCAAAATCCTAGAGAAAAATCTGGTTCAGTCTGCTTTCCACCAGACACTGGGAGATGAATTCACCTTTCAGCAGGACAATAACCTAAAACAGAAGACCAAATCTACACTGGAGTTGATTACTAAGAAAACAGTGAATGTTCCTGAGTGGCCGAGTTACAGGTTTTACTTAAATCTACTTGAAAATCTATGGCAAGACCTGAAAATAGTTGTCTAGCAATGATCAACAACCAATTTGACAGAGCTTGAAGAATTTTGAAAATAATAATGTGCAAATGTTGCACAATCCAGGTGTGGAAAGCCATTAGAGACTTACCTAGAAAGACTCACAGCTGTAATCACTGCCAAATGTGCTTCTACAAAGTATTGATATTTCTGTATTTCATTTTCAATAAATTTGCTAACATTTCTAAAAACATGTCTTCACTTTGTCATTATGGGGTATTGTGTGTAGATTGGTGAGAAAAAAATTATATTTAATCAATTTTGAATTTAGGTTGTAACACAACAAAATGTGGAATTAGTCAAGGGGTGTGAATACTTTCTGAAGGCACTGTAAATATATATTTTTAAATATTAATATCATACAGTGGACTCCTAAGCCTATAGGCCTATGCACGCAATGCCCTGATGCATTTAGTGCTCAAATCTCCGACAGCTGAACCGTGAGGTGGACATTTTGGGAAAGAGTACTCTGTAGAGGGGTTCTCTGTAGAGTTGTGCTCTTGTGGCCTGATGGAGATGGACTCACCAGCACTGATGTGTTTTTCCTCTGTGATCCTTTCCAGTCGGCCGAGCAGCGCATCAATGTTGAACTTGATCTGAGTCAGCTCTGATTTGATATCCTGTAGCTCGTTGGATTTCACCACTGAGCCCACTATAACAGGAGAGAGAGAGAGAGAGAGAGAGAGAGAGAGAGAGAGAGAGAGAGAGAGAGAGAGAGAGAGAGAGAGAGAGAGAGAGGAGAAGAGTGTTTAGGTTTAAATGTCCAATGCAGCCATTTTATCTCAATATCAAATAATTTCTGGGTAACAATTAAGTTCCTTACTGTGATTGTTTTCAATTCAAATGGTCAAAAAGAAACAAAAATAGCTACTTAGTAAAGAACAATTTCTCAAGCAAGAATTTTTGCTAGGACTGTCTGGGAGTGGTCTGAGTGAGGAGGGGAAAACTGAAAACAAGCTGTTATTGGCAGAGAGGTTTGGAACTCTTTCTTATTGGTCTATTAACTCATTTACCACCTGGTGATGTCATCAGGCAGGCCAAAACTCCATCCCACCAAAACAGGCTGAAATTTCAGGCATTACCACCATTATCACAATTTCACAGTATTATTCCAATCTCATAGTGTGGAAATATATATAAAATACAGGAAAATAAATGTTTGATGGCACTGGGCCTTTAATAGACATTCACCCTGACATTCATTGCAACGTAATAGCATGTGTATCAAGAGAAGATTGCTGTATATGGTAACAACACTGCAAAGGGCTATTACTCAAGACAATAACAATTACTTGTCCCAACATTATTAAATCCATTATTTAATCTTAGAATTGACTGCTTTAGAGCAGATATGCCATTCTTCTAGATGAAAAGAGATGGCTTTAGAGTTGTTCAAGTTCAACCAAGCCATTTCAGGTCGAAGCTTTGTCTCGAAGACGTCTCAAACTTCATTAGATAAATTGTTGATATAGAGCGCATGCGGGAACTCACACTTCTGCTTGATGGTGCTGCCAGGGAGGACTGAACCGTGTGCCAACAGCTTGACGGGCAAAGACTTGACCCGGCGCACCAGGGGCATGGCCATGCGAGGCCGCTTAACTGGCACCACTCGAGGCACTGGTGACACTCTGCCCCTGTACTCAAACAGCCTACAGAGGGAAAGCGAGATGGGGGACACTCATCATTAACAAAGCATTTGGTGGAAGGATACTGATACATTGATAATGTACATTTCTGTATTGAGTTATGACAGTTCAGAGGTAATAGGTCTTAAAAAGGTCTTGACATGCCTGAAACATTGAAAGGGACAACTGAGGTAAAGCACTACCTTCTCAAACGTATCTACAGTACACCATAATGTAGCTATCCTACGGTACAGTACCATGGAGTGAGAGTGATGAATACATTTTATGGAGTTTGAGAGAACTACAGGTAACTACCAAAATAAAGGAAACTCTTGAGTTAATGAGGGATACAAAATACACTGAACAAAAATATAAACGCAACATGTAAAGTGTTGGTCCAATGTTTCATGAGCTGAAATAAATTATCCCAGAAATGTTCCATATGCACAAAAAGCTTATTTCTCTCATTTTCGGCACAAATGTATTTACATCCCTGTTAGTGAGCATTTCTCCTTTGCCAATATAATCCAGCCACCTGACAGGTGTGGCATATCAAGAAGCTGATTAAACAGCATGATCATTACACAGGTGCATCTTGTGCTGGGGACAATAACAGGCCACTTTAAAATGTGAATTTCTGTCACACAACACAATGCCAAAGATGTCTGAAGTTTTGAGGGAGCGTGCAATTGGCATGCTGACTGCAGGAATGTCCACCAGAGCTGTTGCCAAAGAATGTAATGTTAATTTCGCTACCATAAGCCTCCTCCAACGCGGTTCATAGAATTTGGCAGTACATCCAACCGGCCTCACAACCGCAGACTAGATTAGGGCCTAAGGAATTTATTTCAATTGACTGATTTCCTTATATGAACTGTAACTCTTTAAATCTTAAAAATTGTTGCATTGATATTTTTGTTTATATATATTGAAAGGTGCTTCCACGCACAGATTTGGTTCCTGAGTGAATTAAGCAATTAACATCCCATCATGTATAAAAATGCCCAGTTGCCCGTAATTTTGGCTGCTGTGGCTAGAAGAAAAGATCTCAGTGACTTTGAAAGAGGGGTCTCAAAGGAGAATAATGGGGTTTAAAGGGTGTGTGTGTGTTTGTGTTTTTGTGTGTTTGTGTCAGTCACCAGACTTCAACCCAATTGAACACTGATGGGAGATTCTGGAGCAGCGCCTGAGATAGCCTTTTCCACCACCATCAAAAAAACAAAATATGGAATTTATTGTGGAAGAATGGTCTCTATGACTGCATCCCTGTATGACTGCATCCCTCCAATAGAGTTCCAGACACTTGTAGAATCTATGCCAAGGCGCACTGAAGCTGTTCTGGCAGCTTGTGGTGACCCAACGCCCTATTAAGACAATTTATGTTGGTGTTTCCTTTATTTTGGCAGTTACCTGTATATTGCCTTTAAGGGTATGTGAGTCCATTGTTCAGTGAAAATAAAACTCCCACTGATTTAGATGAGCAAGGACTTTGAGAAGACTGTATTCTGCAAAAAGGTTTCTATCTGGTGTGTTGTGATTGAAGTAATAGGCTATCGCCTCTGCTTCAAAGCGATATCTGCAGTCCAGACAGAGAGCACGTTCTCCGGTTACGTCAGCGGCTCCCCGAAGACTGGGGGTTTTGGAGATCACTTGAAAGAAGAAGGGCGATTAAATTATTAGGTGTATCTCTCTGTAATATATTGATCCCAGTCAAAGGCAGCCTCTGACAGCCGTAACTCAGAATTGGACATCACAGAGAGGGTATAAATAAACTCCTCTGGATGGCTGAAATGTGTTCCTCATCTGGATATTATGTTCAGACATCTGCGAACACAGGCATCCAGCGGAGAGCACCAGCGGGGCTTCTATAGCCACTGAAACAGGGGCGGCCAAGAGATGAGGAAAGACACTGCCAAAGTTTGCTTGGCAAAGGCCGTCTTGTGAAACAAAAGCTGGACTTAAAAGCTGGTTGAGCTTTCTTCATGGGAACGAGTTTGGAAACCTTCCAGTGATGATGAGTGGAGAATAAAAGGTAAAAACATCTCTCACTTCTCAGGAAGAAAAGACCCTGGAAGGTCCCTCAGTCGAGCAATGCATTTCAATCAAAGATTCAACCACAAAGACCAGGGAGGTTTTCCAATGCCAAGCAAAGAAGGGCACCTATTGGTAGGTTTGATTGATTGATTGCTTCTGTGGACAGGTGTCTTTTATACAGGTAACAAGCTGAGATTAGGAGCACTCCCTTTAAGAGTGTGCTCCTAATCTCAGCTCGTTACCTGTATAAAAGACACCTGGGAGCCAGAAATCTTTCTGATTGAGTGGGGGTCAAATACTTATTTCCCTCATTAAAATGCAAATCAATTTATACCATTTTTGACATGCGTTATTCTGGATTTGTTGTTGTTATTCTGTCCCTCACTGTTCAAATAAACCTACCATTAAAATTATAGACTGATCATGTCTTTGTCAGTGGGCAAACGTACAACATCAGCAGGGGATCAAATATGTTTTTCCCTCACTGTATAACATAGTTATACTATAGTATTTTTTTATGTGGGTGAGGAGGGAGGATAATGAAAGTTCACAGAAATAGCAAGTAAAAGGTAGACCTACCAATTAGTTATAGTGTTTTTATAGTGGTACATGGCAAGTATAGACCATATATTGTGTTTCCTACAGTGTTTTTTTGTGGATAATACTGTAGTATTTACTATAGTATTCTATAGTATACTATACCATTCTATAGTAAGTACTACACTATACTATAGTGTGTAGTATAGTATTCTACAGTATACTACAGTTTACTATATAATTCTATAGTACGTTCTGTAGTATTCTATAGTAAACTGTAGTTTTTTTTCATGTGGGCATGAGGGAGAGAAATGAGAAAATATCTTAAAGATATTTTTTGGTTTGATTGACAGATTGACAAGACGCTAGGCAATATTTCTTAAACTTACAGAAGGGAAATAATTTCTGCAAAACTAAATATAAATGTTGATATTAGTTGAGAGGTTTCTTTACTTCAACATTATTGTGTTTTGTTGTATTTCTAATACCTTTTAAGACCTTTTCTGCTAGAAGTTTGACCAGCAATCCAAGCCTTTGCTTATAAACATTTTTGGGGATGGAAAACGGTTGAAAAATGTATATATGCCTTCATTTCTCTTAGCTTTCATTTGACACCAAATTTGATGTGCTCCTATGAACTTCACATGTTAGTGCTCATGGGGCTTTTTACATGGAAATGCTAATGTGTAATCCACTCACCTGTCATAGAATTCATCTCTGTAGTAGTGATAATCAAAGTCGTACCCACTGAAAGATAAAACATTATTATAATTATAATTAAACAACATTATAATGTTCTGGAATCACAATTAGCATCAATAGTCTCCTAATTTCCTCTAATTCCTCTCCGTCGTATGTCCCGGTCTCAGAAAAAGACAGGTCAAAGCTGTATGACAAAAAGCCCACTGTCCAGTTCTATCAGATCAGTGATGATGAAGGATAGGAAATTAGTAAAGGAATTATCAGCAACTATTGAGACTATTGAACCCTTATTCTTGCCCCCTCCCTTCCATGAAGCCTTCTTCCCTATGGAGTACCTGTAGAGAGCAGCAGCAGACCTCTTCAGCCCTCTGGGTCTGTTGGGCATGGGCTCCCCCGCCATGTTGATGTCTGAGAAAAAACGAAGAGGGAGAATGTTACAGAGAAATTGAGAAAAATGTAGTAAAAAGGGGAAAGTGTCACAGGAGTCTCTCAATTATCAATATCAACCTTGCCCTCTGGGTCTGTTGGGCATTGGCTCCCCCGCCATGTTGATGTCTGAGGAGGAGTGGAGAGAGGGGGTGTTACAGAGCAAAGCAGATGGATCGAGACAAAATGAGTCTCTCAATTATCAATTGTATCAACATCACCCTTATCATCTGTTATTAAAGGGGCAATCTGCAATTGTCACACCAATTTTTTGACTTTTAAATCCATAATATACAGCACACTGAGTGTACTAAACATGCTCTTTCCATGACATAGTCTGACCAGGTGAATCTAGGTGAAAGCTATGATCACTTATTGATTTCACCTGTTAACTCCGACTCAATCAGTGTAGATGACGGGGAAGAGACAGGTTAAAGAAGGATTTTTAAGCCTTGAGTCAATTGAGACATGGATTGTGTATGTGTGCCATTCAGAGGGTGAATGGGCAAGACAAAATATTTAAGTTCCTTTGAATTTGGTATGGTAGTAGGTGCCAGGCACACCGGCGTGAGTGTGTCAAGAACTGCAACGCTGCTGGGTTTTTCACGCTCAACAGTTTCCTGTGTGTATGAAGAATGGTCCACCACCCATAGGACATCCAGTCAACTTGACACAACTTTGGGAAGCATTGGAGTCAACATTGGCCAGCATCCCTGTGGAATGCTTTCGAAAGGGATGCCCTGACAAATCGAGGCCGTTCTGAGGGCAAAAGGGGGTACAACTCAATATTAGGAAGGTGTTCTTAATGTTTTGTACACTCAGTGTATACCCATTGATTCTTGAAGAATATAACTTAGAAATGCCTTATAAGCTTAGTTCAATTGTTGTACCCCATCAGAACCCAAAATAAGCTTGTTTTATTATTTTGTTTGTAAACAAACACTTTATAGCCTTAAAACATGGTTGAAATTATATATTTGATCCCATTGGTGGTCAGTCCTTGCATCCTCATCTCTGTCTGAATGTGAGATTGGTTACATTTCTCCAGTCCCATCCCTCAGCTATTTACCAAATCAGTGGTGGGGTGTCACTTTGTTATTGTTTGAACTGCAGATTGCCCATTTAAATGGACAGTGCACTCAAATTACAAAATTACATATTGGTTTCCTTACCCTGTAAGCAGCCTATGGACCAGGTAAAAGAGCAATCAATGCTTTGGTTTTGTTTACCTGCTGACTGTCTCCGTATATGTGGAACAAATCCAATGCAAGTCAATATCCCCGGTATTAGGTTTTGGAGACAGTGGCCGGATAAACAAAACCAAAACATGGACTGCTGCCTTACCTTGTCCATAGACTGTTTACAGGGTAAGGAAACCAATATGTCATTTTGTAATTTGGGTGAACTTTAATATTACAATACTTTAATATTACATCAAACCTAGACATAATATAAACAGCGGGATTCCTTTCATCTTTCAATATGAGATGGATTTAGGATGTTTTCTGCTACAGGTGTAACTGCTGCAATATTATGTCTGACTTTTGGGAGGCAGGTAAAGGTGAATCAACATAAATGGCACAATGTAAACTATTTCAAAATAACAAGAATATCTTGACCCCACCCTTTGATCTCCGCATGGAACCCATTCATAATACACAGGCAAGCCAACAGGAATAGGGTGAAGCTGCCCCTATCCTTTTAACACGTACGTCCATATGCCGACCATGGCTAAGGGAAACGCTGGCATCTAAATACATTTTGTTCATTTTTGAAATTCATTTCATTTACTCTCCCCTGGAAAGCGTAGGCTACAGCAGTGGCTACATTTCATGTCAATGTATTATCACCACTTGAGATGCCTGCCTCGTCACCAAGCGAGGAAGATATTTCGCAATCATCAAATGCGATGAGTATTATGGCTTGGAGAGGTTTTAGCCTGGTCGGGCGGAGGAGAGTGAGAGGAGGGTGAGAACAGGGTGGATCAAGTCATGTAAGCAACAAAGTGAGGTAGTTTGTGCGGGTGATCAGATTGAATGGTGTGTGCATCTAATCAGATCAATTGTATGCAGAGACCGTGGCGTGAGTGAGGCGAGGTTGTAGATATGATCATATTGAATGGTGTGTGCGTGTAATTAGATATATTGTATGCACAGACCATGGCATGAGTGAGGCGAAGTTGTAGATATAATGGGTTATCATAAACTATGGAGCCAGACAGGATTATCTAGGTTTATGCTTTGGCGACATCTACGGGCTGAATGTTATGTGGACAAGTTACCGATCTCCTTCCAAAACGTGGTTACATTTGTATAACTTCAAGTATTACTAACTATACAGCTCTGGAAAAAATTAAGAGACCACTGCACATTTTTCTTAAATCAGCATCTCTACATGTATGACAGCCATTCCATTCCAGTGTCTGTTGAATTCCAACACAGGCACACCTCATTCTACTGAATTAGGTACTGATTAGGTGATCATCTGAACCAAATCTTATTTAACGAGGAAAAGTATAAAAACCACTGCTGTGGTCATCACTATCCTCTTGCAATAGGACCAGCTGGATGGCAAAAACAGTGCTAATAGTACCTCAAAAGTAATATTAATCAAAAAATAACTATTGACCATGCCAAAAGAGTTTAAAAGGAAAGTTCTGAGTGAGGAAAAGAAGGGTTCAATTCTGGCTTTACTGGCAGAGGGATACAGTGAGCGTCAGGTAGCTTTCATCCTTAAAATTTCAAAGAACAAGGTCAAGCAGCAGACATTGGGGACAACAAAGCTACAGACCGGCAGAGGGCGAAAACGACTCTATACTCACCGGGATGACCGCCAACTCATTCGAATGTCACTCAACAACCATAGGATGACATCAAGTGACCTACAAAAAGAATGGCAAACGGCAGCTGGAGTGAAGTGCACGGCGAGGACGTTTCGAAACAGGCTCCTAGGGGCAGGGCTGAAGTCGTGCAAAGCTAGAAAAAAGCCCTTCATCAATGAGAAGCAAAGAAAAGCCAGGCTGAGGTTTGCAAAAGACCATAAGGATTGGACCGTAGAGGACTGGAGTAAGGTCATCTTCTCTGATGAGTCCAATTTTCAGCTTTGCCCAACACCTGGTCGTCTAATGGTTAGACAGAGACCTGGAGAGGCCTACAAGCCACAGTGTCTCGCACCCACTGTGAAATTTGGTGGAGGATCGGTGATGATATGGGGGTGCTTCAGCAAGGCTGGAATCGGGCAGATTTGTCTTGTGAAGGACGCATGAATCAAGCCACGTATAAGGTTGTCCTGGAAGAAAACTTGCTTCCTTTTGCTCTGACGTTGTTCCCCAACTCTGAGGATTGGTTTTTCCAGCAGGACAATGCGCCATGCCACACAGCCAGGTCAATCAAGGTGTGGATGGAGGACCACCAGATCAAAACCCTGTCATGGCTAGCCCAATCTCCAGACCTGAACCCCATTGAAAACTTCTGGAATGTGATCAAGAGGAAGATGGATGGTCACAAGCCATCAAACAAAGCCGAGCTGCTTGAATTTTTGCGCCAGGAGTGGCATAAAGTCACCCAACATCAATGTGAAAGACTGGTGGAGAGCATGCCAAGACGCATGAAAGCTGTGATTGGAAATCAGGGTTATTCCACCAAATATTGATTTCTGAACTCTTCCTAAGTTAACATTAGTATTGTGTTGTTTAAAAATGAACATGAACTTATTTTCTTTGCATTATTCGAGGTCTGACAACACTGCATCTTTTTTTTTATTTTGACCAGTTGTCATTTTCTGCAAATAAATGCTCTAAATGACAATATTTGTATTTGGAATTTGGGAGAAATGTTGTCAGTAGTTTATAGAATAAAACAAAAATGTTAATTTCACCCAAACACATACCTATAAATAGTAAAACCAGAGAAACATATATTTTTGCAGTGGTCTCTTCATTTTTTCCAGAGCTGTATATTCCTAGGAAAAATCTATGCAATGTAGCAACTCAAATCGTGCTCTTTAGTCTACAGCAGTAACCAGCTGATGAAACAGGTTAGGCTAAAGGATGTTGGCTAGGGAAAATATGATTTTGAAAAGTTTGATTGAAATGTTACATGTTACATGTTACATTTCTATATATACACAGTACCAGTCAAAAGTTTGGACACACCTACTCATTCAAGGGTATTTCTTTATTTGTACTATTTTCTACATTGTAGAATAATAGTGAAGACATCAAAACTATGAAATAACACATATGGAATGACCTAGTAACCAACAAAGTGTTAAACAAATCAAAATATATTTTATATTTGAGATTCTTCAAAGTAGCCACCCTTTTTCTTGATTACAGCTTTGCACACTCTTGGCATTCTCTCAACCAGCTTATGAGGTAGTCACCTGGAATGCATTTCAATTAACAGGTGTGCCTTCTTAAAAGTTAATTTGTGGAATTTCTTCTTCCTTCTTAATGCATTTGAGCCAATCAGTTGTGTTGTGACAAGGTAGGGGTGGTATACAGAAGATAAAAGACCAAGTCCATATTATGGCAAGAACAGCTCAAATAAGCAAAGAGAAATGACAGTCCATCATTACTTTAAGACATGAAGTAATGTGGAAAATTTCAAACACTTTGAACGTTTCTTCAAGTGCAGTCGCAAAAACCATCAAGCGCTATGATGAAACAGGCTCTCATGTGGACCGCCACAGGAATGGAAGACCCAGAGTTCCTCTGCTGCAGAGGATAAGTTAGAGTTAACTGCACCTCAGATTGCAGCCCAAATAAATGCTTCACAGAGTTCAAGTAACAGACAAATCTCCACATCAACTGTTCAGAGGAGACTGCGTGAATCAGGCCTTCATGGTCGAATTGCTGCAAAGAAACCACTCCTAAAGAAGAAGAATAGACTTGCTTGTGTCAAGAAACACGAGCAATGGACATTAGACCAGTGGAAATCTGTCGTTTTGGTCTGATGAGTCGGAATTAGAGATTTTTGGTTCCAACCGCCGTGTCTTTGTGAGACGCAGAGTAATTGAACCGATGATCTCCGCATGTGTGGTTCCCACCATGAAGCATGGATGAAGAGGTGTGATGGTGTGGGGGTGCTTTGCTGTTGACACTGTCTGTGATTTACTTAGAATTCAAG